CAGGAGTAAAGGTACAAAAGGGCACAGGCGGTCCGCTGTGGCTCAGGGTGCCAGCGTGTGATAGGAGGGGAAGGTGGAGATGCAGGCAGGGCAGATCACACACTTGCTAAGGAGTTTGGACACACACGTGAGAGCCACTAGAAGGTTTTAAGAAATGGGTAATGGTGGGCAGAGATTTCTGCCCCGTAGTGAACACACACCTTCTCCTAGTTACTCAATCAAACTCTAATCTAGGTGCTGCTTGAAGGAGTTTTGCAGATGTCAAGTGCCCCAACAGCTGACCTTAAGATTACTCTGGGTGGACCTGACCTAATTAGGTGAGCCCTTACAAGGGACTGGGCTCCTCCTGGAAAGGGATTGGAAGCCTGAGAGGGATGGGATGCCAGGGAGATTCTCACTGCTGGCTTTCAGGATGGAAGGGGCCATGCACTAGAGGCCTCCAGGAGCTGAGTTACCCCCAGCAGACAACCAGCCCTATAGCCACAGGGAACTGAGTCCCGCCAACGAGGAGGATGAGCTTGGAGGCAGGTTCTTCCCCAGAGCCCTTAGATGAGAATGCAACCCTGGCTGACAACCTGATTGCAGCCTTTCAAGACCCCAAGCGAGAAGCCAGGCATGCTGTGCCCAGACTTCTGATGCACGGCAACTGTGAGCTAACACATGGGTATTATTTTAATCCACAGTTGTGATAATTTGTTACACAGCAATAGAAAACTATTACAGGGATAACCATCAGATTTGCACCTTATAAGGTTACTCCTTGAAAGATTCCCCCCTTTTATTGGATCATTCTTAGGAGCACACAAATGTGCTCTAGCGTCTCCCTTCTTAAAAGCAAGTTCGTTGATAGTGCTGCTGCCTGCACAGCAAAGCTTCTCAAACCAGCTGCCTTCAGTTCTTGCCTCTCCCCTTCTTAACCCACTCCAATTTGAGGTGACTGGCCTCCCTACTTCAAAGCACTTCCTTTTTTTGGCTCTTGTGCCTCCCCTGCTGGCGGATGCCTCAAGGTCTGCCATCTGGAGTTCCTGCCATTATGAGCAACTTGCACAGTGGGGGGCCAGGGAGGACTTGGGGGAATTCCCACTCTGTGTCTTTGAACTCAGAGACTCTGCCTCCTATGCCTGTCCCTTCCTGTGTGGCCACCTCCATCCACTCCTGATCAGGGTCACGTCCAAGCCCTCCAGATCTGGTCTCTTATGACCACGCTGATCAAACAGTGCCCACCAGCCTCTGGATGTCTCCTCACTGGAATCTGACATGCAGCCTTCTCTCCAAGCAGCGGAGGCTTGCCTGCCTGCTACTCAGAGAGATAAAAGGAGGTGTATGCGCCCCCCCCCCTCCGGTGGATGAGTCAGGCGCATCCTGTCACTGGACAGAGTGGCCACTGCAATTTGTTGATTGCCTTAACTTAGCATTTTACAGACCCATCTGGCACACATGCAGCCCCTGGTGGGTCTGTGACTAAATGATTGCAGCCTCCCACGGGAGCGTGTGGAGCTGGGACCAGGTCCTGTTCTCCCACGAGCCAGGCACGTCGCTGCTCCAGGGCCAAGTGAAAGGGGAATGTGTGTGTGGCAGCACTGCATGCCACAAGCCCCTTTCCTGTCTGCTCCCTGTCGTACAGCACTGAGGAAGCACAGCTTCCTTACTTGGGTTGGCATATGGCATTGCTTCACAACTCTGTGCATCTGGGGAAAGCTGCCACCCTCCTTGCCCTGCCAGCACTGGGGACAGACACATGGTTGTGGACCAAGAGCACAGTGGTTCCCACCTGCCCGGGCCAGTGCACGCTGCAGTGGGTAGAGCCTTTGGATGAGCCCATGGGAGTGGGCTCGGCTCATACTCATCTGCAAGCAAACCTGATTCTGCCAGCATGTATGGGTGGCATGGGGGTCCTGCAGAGAAGGCAGAAGCACGCGATTGTCCCACTGCCTCACTGTGTGACCTTGGGAAATCACTCAGTCTTACTGTGCCAGCCCCCTGGACACATGGAGAACAGGACCTGCTCCCAGCTGCCTCCCAAGACCATGATGGAGATGAAATGGGCTGCTCCTCTCAGCTGTGCTCAGGTCCCAAGGGCAGGCTGCAGAAACACCATCTAAGTACAAAGAACAGTCACCCCTAAAAATTCCCTTTATTTAACTGCCTTTTTATAGTTTGTGTCTTTGGTGGAAAGAACTTTTCAGTTAGATTTTACTAGGACCAAAGGCCAGAGAGGGATCTGAGACAGACAAGGGTTTTGTAACACAGCCTGTGCAGACAAGAGCAAAGCCAAGAAACCAAGATCCCCCGACAGGAGAACACCTCACGTGCAAGACAGAAAACCTGGTCATCCCGATGGGGTCTTATGGCAATACCAGAGCCAATAAACCACAATAAATGTTCATGGAAGTGGAGGAAAGAAATCAGACCAGATAGGAGTTACAGAGTCAGTGCAGGATGGTATGGAGCCCTGGTTTTGTTCCAAACAGAAGAAAGTTAGGAGAAGACACACCAGAGAGCCAGGGTAGGATGGCAAAGGCCCAACGGAGGCTGAAGCGCCAGGATGGGCAAGGGAGGCTGGGTTGGGATGGGGCAGTAACCAAGAGCCAGTGACTCAAGTGCCACAGGCACCTTCCAGGGATGGCTGGTTCTACTCAAAGAATGGCCATCCCTTGGTCTCATCCCCTACCATCCCTGCTCTTTCAGTCTGGATGCCTCAGGCCCACAGTTCCGCTGTCTGGAACCATCCTTTTTCAAGAGAGTAATACTTCTGAGAATGCTGGTAAGATTCCCCCAGCTGACCTCGGCCGCTAGCTCGGCAGTCATTTAATACCTTCAAAAAAGGTGTTAGCTTCCATTTGATTTTTAAAAATAAATACATCCTCAAGCCTTAGCTCTCAGGTGTCTGTATTATATACCTTCATGAAATGATTATTCCAGTTGCTACGCTATATTTACAGTGTAACTATGTTATTTTCCTTTCTCCGTTAGCCCTGTGGGTTCATTCTTGGTTGCACACATCTGGGTCTTGATTAGAAATCCATGCTAACCAACTTAAGGCTGCTTATTGGAAATCCATTGCGACTGACGGAACAAATGAAATCTGTTTAGTCAGCACAACCTGCATCCTACTTGTGCCAGCAAAAGCCTCTGAGGTTTGGGGAATCTGAAGAATTTAGGGGCTTAGCTTACACATACAATATCCAAATGGCTCCCAGTTGGAACCAGGGAGGGGATTTTCATCCTGTGTTTCTGGCACAATCAAGTCATCAGGATTTGTTGAGGGCATTTTTCTGTGCTGCTTTTCTCTTCCCGCTCCAAGCAGAGCAGTTACAATTTAACCACATGGTCAAAGACACTGGCCAAGTGAAAACAGAGCTATTACAACTTGGAAGGAAAGACAAAAAGTGACAGTAAGTAAATCAGGAACGGATGGAAGTTCCCCACAAGGCAGCCTTCAAGCCACACTATCAAATAAACAGCCCTGGCTGGATCAAGTTAGCAACTAGGAGGACACTGTAGCCTCCCCCTCCTGCCCCAATTACCCAGAAATGATGGGAAAGATATTTTTAAAAAATTCCTGAACATATTAGAAAGCAAGGAGTGCTCTTTGTATACCAGGAACCATGATGACAGTAGTGGCTACATTTTCTGGGGTAGGCAGTTACAGTATTCACAAACAGGCTCTCTAGAGATCTAAAATGCAAAGATGACACACAAACAAGAAGCACAAAATACTTAAGGAAAGCCAACACCGAGAAAGAGTTACAAAACTCAACTATAAAAAAGAATTTACACGTGAGGAAACAGAGTTAACACAGCAGACAAAACAGATTTAAGAATTTAAGTGTAATAAATATCCTTAAAGAGATGCAAGAGGATACCATATCGCTAAAAGAGAGATGGTAGGGCTGGCCGGTTCGCTCAGTTGGTCAGAGTGCGGTGTCATAACCCCAAGGTCAAGGGTTTGGATCCGTATACTGGCCAGCTGCAAAAAAATTGAAATAAAAAGGAGATGATAGATTTCATCACCAAAATAAAAAACCCAACATGTAGGACAAGCACCACAATGGATATAAGTAAAGAATAAATTAGTGAGATAGAAAACTGAGCAGAAGAATCGATCTCTGTAGAAAGCAACTATCTGATAGGGTAGCCACGAGCCACATGCGGCTACTGAGCCCTTGAAATGCTAGCTGCTCCACACCTGAGATGTGGTGTAGCAGTCAAATATATACCAGGTTTTGAAAACTTAGACAATAAATGAACAAATAAATAAAACACCTCATAAATAGTTTTAAAAAATGATTATATGTTGAAATATTTTGGTATACTGGGTTAAGTAAAATATGTTGTTAAAATTACTTTCATCTGTTTCGTTTTACTTTTTTCATACGGCTACTAGAAATTTTAAAATTACATATGTGCTTCACATTATGTTTCTACCGGACAGTGTTGCTCTAGGACCCAGAGCAGAAGGAGTGACAGAAAGTATGAAAAGTTAAGATACAGAGAATAGATCTAGATGAACCAGTATCTGTTTCTCCTTGAAGAAGAGAGAGAGAATGGGGAGGGAACACACTAAAATAGCAGAGGAATAAACACACGAGGACTTCTTGTTGAAAAGGGCCACCAGTGCTGAAGGAAAGCATTGCCACTGACACTGGAAACAAGGTAAGGGTGCCTGTTTTCACCGTCACCATTTATCATCATCCTGAAGGTTCCAGCCAGTGCAACAACATACCAAAAAAGGAACGGAAGAGACATTTTCTTATTTGCAGATGAAATGCCTACCTATATGCTTTCCCCTCACTTTCCTTTCGAAAGGCCTGGCACAAACAGGGCTTGCCAATTTCTGGCCCCCAAGGCATGGCCAAAAGCAGAGCATAGCAGCACCTTCTCCTTCCCAGGCAGGCCTGCAGTGATCCATGAAGAGCTGATGTGAGTGGCCAAGAGAACTCAGAGCAGAGACCTCGTGCTGGGAGAAGTCACAGGTTGGGCGTGGGCTGGGTGCTTACCGACGGATGGCGTTGGTGAACTCCACGGCCAGCTCACTCTCGCTGCACGTCGTCCTTAGCTCGGCTAGTGACAGAGCTGGAGAGGCAGCATCAGCACACTCCTGAGAACAGCAAACACGTTCTTGTTAGACCCGAAGCTAAGCCTGTGAGCACCCTGGAGACTCACATCCGCTTTGCAACAGAGCGTGTCAGGTGAACAGCAGTGACAGGGCCGGGCAGTGCTCTCAGATCATGCTCAGGGGAAAGCCTGGCAGCAAACCAAACGCAGCCCCTCTGCTCTCTGTGACTTAGCAGGCTGGCGGGTGATGCCGACACCCAGTGTGCTCTGAGCACTCTCTGGGTGTTGGGCACTAGTCCAGGTGCACCATAGGCGTTCATGCATTCAGTCATCAGGAGGTCCCTCTGAGGCAGGTACTATCATGATCCCCATTTTAACAAGGACACCGGGGCACAGAGAAGTACACTGCCCAGCCACCAGCTAGAAAATGGTAGAACCAGGATGCAGACCCAGGCCTCCAGTTCAGTCTTTTCACCACTAGGTTAAGCCTCTCATATCATAAAAGTCAAGGGAGAACTGCACATGAATATCCTTGTTGCCCCATCCCGTCTCTCCTTGGGATAAAACCAATCTTCTCTAGATTTAGGAGCTTTCCTGGGTTTGGTGTAACCATGGAGGAATCCTAGGAAAGGAGGAGGAAAACAGAAGTGCATCTCCAGCCCCACGTGTTAGCATCACACAGGGACCTCGACATCGAAAGCAAATCCTCCCATTCTACAGATGAGAAGTGTGACAGCCAGAGCTCCTAACTCCTAAATAGAGTTAAGACTCAATGCACAAAGCAGCAATGGTACCTGTGTGAGTGCCCTGCTTTCTCTGCATGTAGACAGCAGCAGTGATACTACATGATGAAGTGGCCAGGGGGATGGAACCCATCGATGATTTGCTCAATAGACACAAGGGCCTACCCTGCACCAGACCAGAGAATAAAAAGCTTGTGATCTGTTGCAGATGGAGGTAAACAGAAAATGACATCCTGATGGGATGAGAGCTACAGAGAAGTGTGACTCCAGTGCTAGAGGTCTGGACGACAGGAGGCTCATGCCTCCCTCAGCCCACTCTGATCAAGAAACGCTGCTCTACCCAGGGAGTACCTCGACAGCAGCACTGCCAGCACCTGAACACCTGTCCTCTGCCGTGCCCTCCGCCTGGACTGCTCCCCCCATCTACCTGTCCTCATAGACGCAAGTCCCCATTTAGCAGCCATGGCATCTGCCAAGTCCCACAACCCCCTCACTTTTGGTATATCCACTCTCATTTTATAACATTTCACGAGGCTCCTCAAAGACAGGGCCTGCCTTGACTCACTCCCAGTGCCTCTCGCTGAGCGTACCTGGTAATATCGGCTGCATACGGACAACAACTGCAAAAGCCTAATGCAGCTTGCACAAGATTTGGGAGCCAGCTGCGTTGGCTTTTTAAATAAGAACAAAAACCCACTCAGTGGAGCAAGAGTAGATGTTCTAAACCTGGATTGGGTCTATTTGTTTTTGTATGGTCCACAGGCTAAGGCATGACCACTAGGCTAAGAATAGTTTTTCTATTTTTAAAAAAAGTCAAAAGAAGAGTATTTTTTTTTTTTGTCCTTTTTGAGACCGGCCGCACCGCGCTCAGCCAGTGAGCGCTGTGAGTGCACCGGTCATCCCTATATAGGATCCGAACCCGCGGCGGGAGCACTGCTGCGCTCCCAGCGCCGCACTCTCCCGAGTGCGCCACAGGCTCGGCCCAAAAGAAGAGTATTTTGTGAGAGATAGAAATTACATGAAATTCAAATTTCAGTGTCCTTAAAGTGTTGTTAGAACACTCCAACGCCCACTGGCCTCCCCCGTGGTCTCTGCCTTCACGCTGTATTCCTAATGCAGCAAAGCTCAGCAGTTTCAGCAGAGTACGTGTGTCCCACAAACCCCTAAAATATACACTATACAGACCTTTACAGAAAAATTTGCTGACCTCTGCTCTAGGCCATTTGCCTCATCTACCAACAAATAAGACCAAATAAATAACCCAGAGGGGAGATGTAATATTTGAAATAGGATCCAGTTTTTGAAAGACGAGATAATCAGTTCACTCTCATGCAATGACCTGAACACACAGGGTACTCTTATAAAGTTTCTTACTGTAGTGTCAAAAAAAAATATCTGGCCTTTTCCATCAGAAAAAATTCTGTACTTTGAACCCATTCCACAAACACAGTGCTTCTGCAGTCAAAATAAATACCAAGAACTAGGGGAAAATGTGCAGTTCGTGGGCCTTCTGGCAAGAACTGGGCAGTCCATTTCTACCACGCCCTCAGATCACACACACAAACACTAGTGCTCTGTCTCTCAGGCCCTGACCGACCCCAACTGACTGCTAACCAACTCAAAAGGCTCTAAAAAGATTTTGAGGGTGTTTTATGGAACAGAAAACACCATCTCCTGGGCCCCAGAGACCACCATATGAGATAGTACTGTGTGGGCTGCTGCCTACCCCATGCCCCACTCAACCCACCAAGCACTGGGCAGATAGTTTTACAGTGCAATTGCCATTGTGACTTGCCTAAAACCCAAAGCCTGTCACATTGTGCCCTGCTTAAGACCCTTCCACAATTCCTATCTTTAGGATAACATGGCTGGGGGATGTCTCCAGCTAGTGCGTCAATTCCTCTTTTCTCTGGGTCTCTGCATGTGCTCTCCCTTCACCTAGAGTGTGCCTTCTTCTGTCCCTGGTCCTCTGTCCCACCCCTCTTAAGCAGACTAGCTCCCACTCTCCACTGGGTCTCAGCTCATAAAGCCATTTCTCCCAGAAAACCCGTCCTGAATCTCCAAATCTGGATTCTGTGCCCGTCTCGTGGCCTCCCATGGACTCTGTCACTTCACTGTGATCATCTAATTGACCATCAGTCTCCTCCCATAATGTAAATTCCTGGAGGAAAGACCTTGTGCCAGATCACATTTATCAACCAAATGGATGAATGAAAGGCAGCCAGGGACTTGGGAGAGCTGGCCCAGCTGGTGCCATGGCTGTGTCCTCCCTGGGCTCCTCAGTGGGTGGGAGGTGGGGAAGGCTGTTGCTGCGGCCATTTGTGAAGCATGCTTTAGAGTTCTTAGCTATTTGGGGAGTGACAATTCACTGCCACACAGCATCAGCGCTGTTCTTTCCTTCCCGAGATAGATGGTACTGCTCTCCTGGAGACACCCTGCACTTGTGCTGCAAGAAGCCACCTGTTAGACCAGCAAGTCAGCGTATGCCCACACGTCCTGGGTGTGAAACAGACTGGGGTCAGCAGCTTGCATTCATCAGAAATAGAAGGCACGGTGCACAGAATATACAGTGCCCTGGGATGAAGGATATAATTCTTTACAGTCCAGAGCTTTTCCTTCCAGTAAAGTATTGGGAATAACTCTGAGACACAGGAAGACAGAATGAGCTTGAATTCTAGAAAAAAGACCTGGGGGCTGATGGAAATGTGAGTTTACAAAATTTTATCACCAGACAACCCACTCTGTGAACGACAGACACCTCATAATCCCAGCTCATCCTCCTCCTCTGCCTTTAGGCTGCTTCCCATGTACACCTCACGGTGGCAGAAAAGCCGACAGAGGTCGGCAGCAACGCAGATGAGAGGAAGAGAGCCCGTTAGCCAAATCTGGGTTAAATCCTGACTCTGCCATTTACTAGCTACGAGACCCCTCACTTCTTTTTTTTGAGCCCCATTTCCTCAAGTACATGGGGGTAACTATTCTTTACTCAGGGATGTGAGACTGGGGCAGGGGGATAATAAATGCAGTGATTGGTGTGGAAGTCCCAACAAATCAGTAAATGATGGCCACGGTGTGAAGGGGGATTAGACCCCCAGAGAGTTGCACGGATCACTGCTCTGATAAGACCATGACATATTAAAATACTTTAACCATTATAAAAAGTAAGATTTAGGTTATTTTTTAAATGTAAATTTGATGTCTTTGTACTCAAGATGTCACCTTCTTCTTAGATATCTAGGAATGCAAATAAAGGACACGAGGCAGTGGAGCGTGCCGGTGGTGGCTGGGCGGGAAGGCCAGAGCCGCTTCGGCGCTACCTTGCCGGCCTTGTCCTTGCCGCCGCTGCTGCTGGAGCTGAGGGACCGCATGCGCTGCTCCTTCTGCTCCTCCACCTCGGACTTCAGGTGCTCGATGTGCACCAGGTAGGCCTGCTCCTGGGCCTCCCGCGTGCTCAGCTTCAGCTCCAGGGCCTTCTTCTCTTTCTCCAGGAGGTAGAGCTGGGCCTTCAGCTCGGCCATCTCCTCCTACAGAGCAGAGAGCAGAGAGCACAGAGCACGTGAGGCACCCGGATCTGAGAGCAGGGTGGGCCAGTGCCAGGCGGCCAACTGAGAAGGGGGCCCCCGGCTATAACCCACGGACCTGCGGTAGAGTTAACGCTTTGAAGCTGGGAATAAACTGAATGGGAGGAGATATGACATCTGTGTCCACTGACATGTGGACACAGCCATGTGCTGTCATTCTATGGATTAGAACCGAGATAGATGGGTAGAAGTTATAGGCAAGCAGGTTTTGGTTTGATATAAGGAAAACCTTTGTGACAACTGGCCCCTCCTCCGCGCCCCCCTTGCTGGAACAACAGACGCACTTGCCTTGCTGGAAACTAGTTCTCTGGCATGTGGAGGCTGAGCTGCATCAGCCAGAGGTTGCAAAGGAGTCAGCCATGCACAGAAGGCTGGGTCTGATAGGTCCCTTCCAATTCCCATTTCAGTTTCTGTGGCACAACTACACACTTACCCACCCCTCATGGCACCCTTGCCGCCCTGCAGCTCGGCCAGGCAGGTGGGAATGCCCACAGCAATATCATTCTCTACTTCTGAGGTCCCAAATGATGTCAACAGAAACAGAGTCCTTCACAGGTGACTACTCATGAGATAACTTCTAAGAGTAGCATGAAGTACTCAAATGAGAGTTTTCTGTGGAGAATAAGAAGTGAATCCAAAATGGGACAGTGCTATCCTGGGAGGAGCCAGATAACAGTGACTACCGCCAGCCTCTACTGAGCATGCAACTGCTCTAATCTTCCCAATCTGAGGTATATACTATAGGTATTTCCATTTGCAGATGGGAAACTGAGGCTTACAGAGGGAAAGCCACCTGCCCATGGCTACTGGGTAAGTTGTGGAGCCAGACTTTGAGCCCAGGCCCATAACCACTAAGCATATTGCCTCCCTCCCTTTCAAGGTGAGCCCACGCATGACTCTTGTCCCCTCACTTCTGCTGGAGGGCAAGTCATGGGCCACATGACCACCAAGTCCCGCCTCCCCAGCGATTGCTATAGTCCCTTACATAAAAGGATTCCTCATAACACTGAATCACTACCTGAGATGGACTCACCAGGGTCACTGATTCTGACCACCCCGGAGGTGGCCCTTCTCTGGGGTAATAAGCACAGGCCTGGTTTGCTCTCCTGGGCAAGGCAGACACAGGGGTAGATGTTTTCACTCTCCAATGTGGGAAATAGCTAGAGGGCACCCACCAAGGCTAGACAGCATTAGTCAATGTGCTCAGTGACTGTTCAGAAGAACATTCCAAACCTTTTTTTCTCCTAAACACCAGACAACCAGACATCAAAACCAGAATGAAGGTTTTTCCATACCCAGAAGCCTTTTCTTCTTTTGCCAGTAGAAGCAGGATTCTGAAGCTTCTGGCAACACTGCATACTGAGCTAATGTGGATGGATATTCCCAGAACAAGCACATAAATGCAAGCTTGAAAAAAGGAAAAATAAATCCATGGGTACCAGAAATAAAGAGGGAGTGCCTCCAGAGGGGGATGGCAAGGCAGACAGAGTGCTGGCCAGCAAAGGTATCAGACCGGTCTGCAGGCCCTGAGACCTGGGATCTGACTGTCTATCCAGGGCAGGGCCTTGGTCTCTGTGAGGCAGAGCCAGAACTGAGACCCCTGCGTGAGCTGAGACTCTCAATGTACTGCCTAGAATGAGAGACTAGAAAGCTTTATTTCTGGAGATGTGGCAAGGAAACCTGTCATCTCTCAGGCTCTGGCTGGGAAAAGAAAGAAAATCTCTTTTGAGGAATCAAACCTCAAACTTGTGTCTTGTGTGGGTATGGTACAGGAATCCTATGCCAAGAACATAACAAACACTAGTCCTAAACCTCTGCATCCCACAAGTTCCAACAGAGCTACACACGGAACCACTCTGTAGGGACATCTATACCCACGGACAACACCATCTCCAGTGAAGATGAGCTGGGATGTGCGTTCCCTCCCCACCCAGAGGGAATGAAAGTGAACAGCGTGGAGCGGATGCGCAAGTGAGAAGCAGCACTCGTCAGAAGCAGAAATAACAATGTGAAAAACCGGAAAATAAATCTTCAAAATAATTAAAGAGATAACGGAAGAGGAGTCATAATGAAAGGATAGGACGTCCAAGAAAGAAGAGTGGATCTGAAAAGGAACCAAGTAGATCATCTAGAAATGAAATGGTATTTACTAAAGATCAGGTATGAGAGGTAAAAAAACCCCCAGAAACATGAGTTTCTCAGCAGTTATATCCTAGAACAAAATGGTGAAATCCAACATAATCTGCTGGATAATGGATTTGGCGTGGGTGAGCACATGTCCTTGAACACACTGGGAGGGACTCGGGAAAAGGAGATGACTCTGATGTTTAGCCTGAGGAATTCACAGGAAGGGAACAGGTCAGAATGCTAGCAGTGGCTGTCCCTGGATCATGATATTATGATTATTTCCCTCCCAGCTTTTTCTAATTTTTACTCCTTTAGAAAATTTCTAAGATGAGTACATATTCTATTTTCAAGTAGCAAAGGGACTGTTAGAGCTTTTATTCCAACATAAATGTCTTCCTTGGCTGAATACCACTGAATTTATCATACCATATATTGGCCAGAATATAAAGAGAAATTCCTTAGTCTTTAGTCAAAGAAAACACAATGTTTGGAATAAATATTGGAAGAGCAGCCTCATGGCTCATGTCACACAGGGTGCAAGGGTCCACAAAGAGGGTTCCCTATTGGAGAAAAAGTCAGTGTGATTACAGACACAAGGCTGGCTTGTGGGCAATGAGAGGAGAGATCAGCCACGGTGGAGTAAGGACTGTCCAGAGAGAGGAGCAGTCAGAATCCTGAGCCCAGTGGGTGAACAGAGATAAGCACATTTGCAAACAAAGGGTTGGGGTCCTACATCTGTCACCACTGCTTGGAGTCTCCCCAGGCTTCACCCAGACTCCGGTTTGAGCAGCCACTGAGGCAGAAATGTGCCGAGCAGGTTACCGGGATGACTGCTGCTGACGCTCCTCTCCCCTGTCCAGCGGTGGTGTAACCCGAGGGTTTTTTTTTTTTTTTCCTTTTTGTCTTTTTTCGTGACCGGCAACGGATCGCAACCCTCAGTGTTGCGCCCGTACCGGACCGGGACCGGCAACGGGATCGCAACCCTCGGTGTTGTGCCCGCACCGGACCGGGACCGGCAACGGGATGCAACCCTCGGTGTTGTG